GCCCCCTAGGACAGTGTTGGTAAATTCACTCAGGGTTTGACTCACCTACAATAGATGGGCTAAAACATCTCATGGGAAAACCAAACTTTACCACATTTCTAAAGCTATTGGATAAAATCAGAATATAAACTAGTTGTTATACCCTGAGCACATTTCAATGAAGTGTATTTTCTCCCTGTAGAGAACTAAAACATTCAGTTCGTAAATGTCATGCTTGATGATTATGATGTCAGAACAAGTGGACTTAGTTTGATGGTTCATACATGTAATGGTACCAGAATTCAACAGCCCAGCCCATCCGCATCCACTGGATGAGAATATTTAAAGCCAGCAGTCATCACTTTAGTCCCACAATACAATTGCACTGATTAAATGAACCTGGTTGGTATTGGATTGTTATTTTATGGTTTTTGTTTTGTTTTGTTTTGCTTTGCTTTGTTTTTTGTCTTTCTGAGACAGAGTCTCACTATGAAGTTCAGGCTGGCCTTGAGCTCACTTTGTAGCCCAGGCTGGTCTCGAACTCACAACGATCTTCCTGCCTCAGCCTCCGAGTGCTGGATTTACAGGCGTGCGCCACCACGCCTGGCTTGGATTGTAATTAAAATGTTTTTAAAATAGTAAAATCCTATAAAATTAAGATAATGCTAATAACAACTTTTGGTGGGGGGTGGTTGTCACTGGGGTTTGCAAAGCGCTAGCCTCAAGCTCATAGTGATACTCCTGCCTCAACCTCACAAGTTCTAGGATTATAGCATATGCCACCATGGCTAGTTCCAATTTAATTTTTGAGGAATCTAAGTTTGGAGGCTTTAAGAGGGTAACTGGCTAATAAATCTGTTGCTTGATCCAGGAAAGACTCATTGTATTTACTTTGCCTCTTATAAGGTTTCTAGTAGCTTGAATGAGTTCATATCCTCTTGCAGTAACTTCCTACCAGTGAGCTGATCTATGTGCTAGGAAAAATAGATTCTTTGTGCTAGCTGCTTGACTGGCTGACTGGTAGCTGCCTTAATAGTTGGCTTTCTTGACAAATAATTTTTGCCAGGTGTGGTGGCGCATGCCTGTAGTGCCAGCACTCAGGAGGCTGAGGACGGAGAACCTCTGTGAGTTCAAAGCCAGCTTGGAGTACACAGTGAGTTAAAGGCCAACATGAACTACACAGGGAAACCTGTCTCAAAAAACAAAACAGCCTGGCAGGTGTGAGGCCCTGAGCTCAATTCCCAGTACCAAAACAAAAAAGAAAAAAGAAAAATCATTTCTACTCTAGCAAAATCACTGGACTGGAAAATATAAGTAGGAAGAAGTATTTTTCTGGCTTTTCCAGTCTTCAAAACAGGCTAAAATTTTGTGCCATTGGTACAAATGGGGTGCCTCCCTTGTATATTTCTATTTTGGTATAATGAGCGGTTCTATAGGCTGCTGATGACTAAGTATTCAAAGCTGCTGTATAATGGTTAAGCAAGACACTACAGTGGTGACCAACATATTCCAGGTTTTTTGCAGATGGAAAATGAAGACCCTCAAAAGAAAGTCGAGCAGCACCCACAGTACGGGGTGATGTCCTTGCGAGCTTATCAGGTGTCAGGTGTCCTGCTAAGCTCGCACGCGGAGCTCGTCACTTCACCCAGCAGTTATCATCACAGCCCTCAGTTTAAGATGAAGGAACTGCAGTATAGAGAAACCTCAGTACCCTTTCCAAGATCATCCAGTTAATAAACAGTAGATTCAAGATGGAAACTAGCGTTCTTCATAGTTACATTCTGATCCATTAAAGAATTTTCCCTGGGGATCTTGGAGCCTTTCAGCTCTTAGACATGTAAGCTGGATCTTCGCTGCCTTTCTGACTGAACCAGAATGAAACTGAAGGGCTAACAGGGCCTGGGGAGTTCTTTGTTGCTTTAGGGACATAAGCATTGTAAAACTGAAATAATGACATAGTCATATCAGAAAGGAATGGACAGGATCACACTGGACAAGGACCAAGGGAACTCTGGGTATATCTCCTCCACAAATGGTATAAGATTGAATTCTTTATCTACTTGCCACACCTATGTGTGCCTGCCTACCTTTTGTAGAAAATCCAAATGACTACTCCTTTAAAATATTGCACTGGTGCTAATATCGATTGGAGAAATTTTTATACCCATGTCTGGTACCCTGCGCAACTGCTTTAAAGATAACAACATGTAATGTGTTAACTGTTGTTATTCTCCTATTATTCTGTTATGAAATTTTGTTTTACCTTTTTTCTATAAAATAAAAAAACAGGTATTGCACTGGAGAGGGCTGATGGGAGAGTTGTTGTTTTATGCATACATATTTTTCAGCTCTATTAAGATATAATTGACAGCCGGGCATGGTGGCACACACCTGTAATCCCAGCACACAGGAGGCTGAGGCAGGAGGATCTTTGTGAGTTCAAGACCAGCCTACACTACAAAGTGAGCTCAAGGCCAGCCTGAACTGCACAGCGAGACCCTGTCTCAAAAAAAAAAGATATAATTGACAATAAAAGTTGCACATATTCCTAGTGTATACTGTGATGTTTTATTATATGAATATATTGTGAAATGATTAACCTAGCTAATTAACATATTTTTCACCTCATATACTTATTATTTGTATGTGGTGAGAACAGTACTGTTCATCATTTTCAAGTATGAAATACAGTGTTATCAACTGTAGTTGATGCTGTCGCACAGATCTTCAGAACATTTTTATCCCAGTTGAAATTTTGTACCCTTTACCAAAATCTTTTCATTTTATGACCCCAAGCCTATTTGCTATCAACCACTACTCTATTCTCTGCTTCTATGAGTTCAACTTTTCTAGATTCCACATGTAAGTAAGATCATGCAGTGTTTGTTTTTTTGTTCCTGGGTTGTTTCACTCAGTGTAATGTCTGCCAACTTCATCAATGTTGTGGCAAGTGTCACGATTTCTTTCTTTTTAAAAACTAAATAGCTTTCTATTATATATGTTTATACCACACTTTCTTTATTCATCAGTTGATGAGTACTTAAGGGAAAAGTTTGACATGGGTCTTGGCAAAGATTTCTTGGCTACGGCACCTAAAGCACATGTAACAAAAGCATAATTTGGTATGTGTGGTAGTGTACACCTGTAATCCCAACACTCAGGAGGCTGAAGCAGGAGGATCTCTGCAAGTATAAGGCCAGCCTGAACTGCATGGTGAGACCATGTCTCAAACAAACAAGCAAAACAAAACAAACTACATAAAAACAAAAAAAGCAAAATTTGACAAATGGAATTACATCATAGTAAAAACCTACCTAGCAAAGAAAGTATCGTTCACAGTGGAGAGACTAGGGGAGGATATTCTCAGACATGCACCTGGTTAGAACTGACATCCAAAACAAGGAGCTCAAACCACTCACTAGCAAGAAAACAACTCAATTTAAAAAGATGAGCAAAGGACCCAAATAGACATTTTACAAGAGAAGACATTAAAAAGGCCAACAAGTACATGAAAAAACGTTCAACACAACTAATTATCAGAGAAATATAAATCAAAAACACTGAGATATCACCAGCAAAGTGGGCCCAAGAGAGAAGCCGTGGGGGCTGTAACCACTGGAAGTGCCAGAGGGGTGGACTCATGCAAGCCTTTGGAGCTTACAATGTGCCACAAGTTGCTTCAGATGCTAGACATGGAACTACAGGACATAATGTTAGCCCTGCTGGATGTTGGACTTGCTTTGGTCCCAATGCGCTGTATCCCCCAGTTTGTACCTTTTGGAATGGTAGTGTTTATTTTGTGCCATTGAATGTTGGAAGTGTTTAACTTTTCATTTGTATAGGGGCTCACAGCTAAGAGTTTGCCCTACATCTTGGAGGAGACTTGGGATTTGGACTTTTCAGCAGTGCTGAAACTGTTAGGACTTTGGCAACTCATGCAGATGGACTAAACACCTTGTGCATAAAGGGATGTGCATGAGTCTTTGGGGAGCGAAACGTGAGGCTTTTATAGGTAAATGGATGCAACTAGAGAGTATACTCATAAGTGAAATAAATCAGACTCACATGTGTAAGCATTGTGTTGTCTCCCTAGTGTAAGAACCTGAAAGAGTAAATAAAACACAAAAGTTTCAATAGAAAAAAAAAGAGATATCACCTGCCTCCAGTAAAAAAAAAAAAAAATCTGCTATCAAAACTCCAGAGGATTTATTGGTGAAGGTACAGAAAGAGGAAACTCTTGTATACTGTTGGTGGCAATGTAAATTAGTCCAGCCTTTGAGAAAAAAATAGGGATGTTCCTCAAGAATTTTAGAACTTATTACACAATCCAGCAATTCCACATCCAGGAATATACCCAATGGGTTTGCAATCAGTGTATTAAAAAGAGTATTTGCACACCCATTATATTGGAGCATCATTCACAGTTATAGACTTAATCTAAGTGTCCATCAATAGGTGAATGGAAACAGAAAATGAAATGTATGTACTGTAAAACAGTGGAGTACTATTCAGCCTTAAAAAGGTGCGCTGCTCTTTAGTAGTAACTGGAGAAGAATTGTCGAAGGAAATTGAGTGTAAAGGCTAAAAAATGAAAATCTCTCACTTAATTTTCTCTTTTTGCCAGTAAACACGCTTGTGTGTGCATATATGTACACTGTACACATACATACACATGCTACACACTCAAGTTCACACATTGTCTCCAACATCCCCACCAAGGGATGTTTTGCCCTAAAATCTGCATGCTTCTGCTGCCCTTCCTGACTTGGGAGAATAAGGTTAAGTGTGTAGGCCTTACTACATTTGTTCCCATAATTTTCCTGCTGCTGTCATTCTAACCTAACAGTTGGTATATGACATGAACATCAGCCACTAGCCATACAAGTGGATCTATTATAGGTAAGCTAACTCCAGAAACATGTACCTGTGAATAGCCTCGTTCTGACAAGTTCGCACAGCTTGAACTCATGTTTTACAAATATTCTTTCAAACATGTTTCTCTTTTAAAATGTTTGCTCTAGTATCTATCATCTGGAGAAAAGCTCAAATATGAGCAGCAAGAGGAACTACAACAGCTTCGCCAGAACTTGCGTCGGCTCCAAATCCTTTGCAACTCCGCGGAAAAAGAGCTTCGATATGAGAGAGGAAAGAACTTGGACTTAAAGCAACATAACAGCTTACTTCAGGAAGAGAGCGTTAAGGTGAGTCCAGCAGCAGCATGGCCTTCTCTGGGGGGTCTCAGTGGGCCCTGAGAGTAAATGAGTCGATGAATTCCACACACTATGATGCACGATGGGATCCACAGATGGGTGGACAGTGAGCTACTTAGCAACCGCCTCTGCCAGCTTTCCTTCCTAAATGAGAACGGGGCTTTGTCATTTCTCCGCTCCTAAAGGAGTATGTATGCTGGCTTGGGTGTGTGTGTGTGTGTGTGTGTGTGTGTGTGTGTGTTTTCAGTACTGGGGATTGAACTCAGGGCCTTCACACTGAGCTGCAGTCCTAGCCATCGAGTGACTGACAGGGTCTTACGAAGTTACTGAGTTGCCCAGGCTGTACACAAACTTGTCCTTCTGCCTCAGCCTGGTAGAGTGCTGGAATTGCAAGTGTTTGCCATCACAGCCAGCTCAAAAAATGTTTTAAAGCTGGGCATGGTGGTGCACGCCTATAATCCCTGCACTCAGGAGGCTGAGGCAGGAGGATCCTTGTGAGTTCCAGACAAGCCTATGCTACAAAGTGAGCTCAAGGCCAGCCTGAACTGCATAGGGAGACCCTGTCTCCAAAAGACAAAAAATAAAAAATAAAAAACAGAAAATGTTTTAAAGTTACTCAATCTTTTGAAATCATTATCCAAAATCATTACCTAAATTTCTGTGACCTCCACAGATACGTATAAATGTTTAAAGTGAACCATCTCCTAAAACATTATCTCCTTTTAATTATGTTAAATTATAATGGTAATACATTTTATATTAAGGTAATGTATCTACATTTCTGTGAATATATATAAAGACTTGGTTTCTGCGAGCCCCTAACTAAGGTTCTGGAATTTAACATTCAACAAATAAAAGCAGCATCATGCATCTGCCACACAGGGACTGGTGTAGACACCGAGAGCTGACAGCAGGCAAAATGGACACAGTCCTGGTCTGCACGGTGCAGAGGTCAGAAAACTTTGGCCTTTATGAAGGATGCTGCCTGCCTCCTGTTTTGTGAATAAAGCCTTATTGCCATACAGCCATGTTTGTTACTTTACACGTTACCTATGGCTGCTTTTATGTTATAATAGCAGCTTTAAGTGGTTGTGACAGAGACCACATGATCCACAAAGTCTAAAATATTCACTGCCTGGCCCTTTGTGAGAAAAGTATGCCCACTTAGTCTCAGGGATAAATGGATCTCATTTGAAAAATGACATAAAAATGGACCATAAAAGTCCCTGCTATTCTGGAGTTCACATCTAATAGAGGAGACAGAGAGGAAAAAAAATATTTATTTATCTCAAACTTCTAGAAAGCCTTTCTAGGATCCCAGGATTATTTGAATAAACCTCATTCCTGTCCTTACACTTAGTAAGGTTTGTTTTTATTGCTGTTGTTTGCTTTCAAACCTAGCTTTTTCAGAGTTTTTAAACTGTGATTATATTCCCTCAATCCTCTGTACAGTTAGAGAGTTTTTAACTAAATTCTAAATCTTCATATTTCCTTGAATGATAGCCTTTCACCTTTCCTTCAGCCTTAGATCATTTTAATTGTTAACTTTGAACATATTCAGACAATACTACATCTTTCTTTCTTTTTTTTTTTTTTGAAACCAGGAATTGAACTCAGGACCTCGCCCTTGCCAGGCAGGTGCCATGTCGCTGAGCTATATCCCTGGCCCCTATACTACATCCTTCTTGAGGTACAATGACCAGAACTACACAGGTTGTGATGTTTTCCATGCCACTGACACCCTATAAATATTTGTTGAGCTGGGCGTGGTAACACACACCTGAAATCACAACACTCAGGAGGCTGAGGCAGGAGTATCACTGCAAGTTCAAGGCCAGCCTGGGCTACATGCTGAGACCCTGTCTCAAAAAACCCCAAATATAAAAAATAAATATTTGTTGAATCAGTGAACAGTCTTTCAAGGGTGGATAAATTGTAGGTTGGTACAAAGAGGTTTTTCTTTTCCTCTTTTAAATCTCCATCTGGATGTCTGATACCTAAATAATATCATATACATTAACTTCTTTTTATCAATATTTTATCTGTTTTATCTCTTATAAGTTTCCCCACAACCTTGATTATACTGGTTACTTTAGCTTCATATAAATATTGATATTTAATGGAGAAGATATTTTTGACCTTGTTTTCCTTGTTCTAGGATATCTTGGTTATTCTTGGCCTTTTGAAGTTCCGTGTAAGTTTTATAGCCAGTTTGTCAACCCGCACACACATATCTACATGTACTCACTTGTATATTCAAAAATATAACTTTTTAGGGTTAGTTGGCGTTATAGTGAATCTACGTCAATAGGGGCAGAATTTAAATCTTTACAGTAGTGAATCCTCCCATTTATGAAGTATGTAGTGTATTTAGGTCTTTAGTTTCATTTGATATTATAATTCTATACATCTTTTGTTAAACATATTCCTTTCTCATTTGCCAGCTCTGTTGGAGATTCAGCATTTCATGTCTAAAGTGGGATACAGTGCTAGGCCCAGCCACTGTATAGATGTGGAAACCGAAAAAATATAAGAGTGACATTAGTAATGCCTTAGTTCTACGCTTGAAATACAATAGATGTTCTACAAGTGTTACCTGAATAACAGTTAACTCTTAGTAGGTGTTTCCTGTGTGTCTGGCTCCATTCTTGGTGCTTTAACTATTTTGACTTACTTAATGTAGCTGCACAGCTATCCTGTGAGGTGAGTAGTTAGTATCTTCACGTTACAGACAAAAAAGAAACTGGCACGCCAAGAGGTCGAACACTATTAACTTTTAAAGTCACTCGAAAGATTCTGCTTGGTTAACACACAGAAGTCACAGGTGGAGATACGTATTACAATTGTAATCTGCGTTAATTCAACGGAAAAGCTTTGAAACCAACGAATTCTATTTCCTGTGTGGACAAACATTTTTATCTGTAAGCCTTCCCTGCCTAGGATATGTTTTCACCAGGCCCTGTTAGTCCACAGGGTCCTGTGCTTCTTCACCTGCTCAGCAGTAGTCTTAGTCGCTTCCTCTCTGGCACTTTGATAGGCCTGGGGTATTGAGAAGTAAATGAAATCATGGCCTCTGCTCTTGGAATTTAAAATGAGGAAGAAGGGTGGTGAGTAGATAAATGCATGCTTAATTATAATTTGTGATAAGTTCAGTGGATGAAATAAATGTGATATGGAGCAGTGATATCACAAACAAGGTGACATCTTCAGATTAAATGATACTGAAAATTTTCATTTAGGGTTAGTTGAAGTTACAGTGATAATGAAAATTTTCTCTTGCAAAGTGACATTGAGGCTAAGACCTAAAGAACAGGCAGGCAACCACACAAAAGGAGAAGGCATTCCTGGCAAATGGAAGTGTGTTGGAAACGAAATAGAAACCAGCATGGCAGGCGTTCAGTGGGAGAAGAGGAAATAACAAGATGGCTTGGAGGAGACAGGGCTGGGTCACACAGGCCGGGGAGCTGCTGGGGTTTGTTCATGGAGTAACAAGAAATCACTGGTGGATTTTAAGCAAAGGAATCCAAGTCAATTTGTGTTTCTAAAAGAACGTTTTGGCTGCAACATAGACAATATGTTGAGACTAGGTTAAACAGGAATAAAAATGGAAATGGCAAGGCCGGTGAGGAAGCGCTTGCTGCAGCCCAGGCTATCGATGGTGATCCAGGCCAACGGTGTGAACCTGCGGCACGTGTGCTGCAGCGGCGCACAGGACCATCTCTGTCGGCTGCTCACCAAGCAGTGGGCAACGGTTGTTTTTCTAAACCAAAACCCCAGTATTCAGGTTTAGTTGCAGTGCTGGCCGTTTATGACGAATAAATGTGTTTGGGGTTGCAGTGTGGGCACTTGTCTCTAAAAGGTTCGCCGTCACTGACCTAGACCGTGGTGCCAGCAAAAATGACTCAGACGGTGTGGCAAAGCGGTTGTGGAGGTAGAGGGGCAACACGTGTTCAGTGATGGGAACTGGCTCGTGATGGAAACGGAGCCCCCAAGGGTGACTCTCCGGTTTCTGGCCTACACAAAAGGCTGGGTGGTGGCTTTATTTATCAAAATTGGGAAACTGAAAGAAGACAACCTTGGCTATATGGGCAGCATCACAGAGTTTAATTTTGGCAGTTAGAAGGATACAGAGGAGTAAGTGACAGCCAGGGAAGGCCGGCGTCGTCTGCCAGGAGAGGAGGACATCCTGAGATAGAGGCCTCCCGCACACTGGGCTTACTTTGACAACGGAGCGGCCACTGGCATAAACAGTTATGTTGACTTGTAGAGATGAAAGCCACCTTGAAGTAAATGAAAGTTTAGGCTGTGCAAAAATAGAAACTCTTGAGAAAATTCCTTGTTCCGCTGCACCCTGACTTAATGAACTTTGGCAAACCTTACCAACACCTGGCTGCCCGAGAAGCCATCAGCCGTGTTCAGTGTTTGGGAGGCTGAACTCCTCCGAGGGCTGCTGATCCTGGCTCACATTTCTGCTCACTCTGTGCTTATGTGTCGCGTTCTCACTTATTCCCCTCCTCCAGGTCAAACTGGAACTAAAGCAGGCCCAGCAGAAGCTGCTAGACAACACAAAGATGTGCTGCTCTCTCACGGCAGAGTGGAAGCACAGTCAGCAGAAAATCAGGGAGCTGGAGCTGGAAGGTCTAAAGCAGGCTCAGAGCATTAAGTCACAGAGCAACCTGCAGGAAAAGCTGGCTCAGGAGAAATCCAAAGTTGCCGAGGCAGAGGGAAAGGTAATCACTGTGTCCTCAGGCTTATTCAACAGCGTGTGCCAAATGCCACCACTGAAATCCTACTTCCCTAAGGATTTTAACAACTAGCTATAGTACAAACTTGACAGAATACTAATTTTCTTTACTCCCCTCCATTTTTTTCCTGTGGTTTGACTTCACCCGCTCGTACAGTTTCAGTAAAGTCTTACATGTTTTTTTGTTTTTTTTTTTTGGTTTTTCTCCGGTACCGGGAACTGAACTCACGACCTTGCGCTTGCCAGACAGGCGCTTTTGCCGCTGAGCTAAATCCCCAGCCCCCTCTTACATGTTTTTTAAAACTGCATGAAAAAAAAAAACCCTGCATGAACTTAAAACTGTGAGTTTCATTAAAGCTATGATGTGAACTAAAGGAACTAACTGCTGTACATTTTCAGCCTGTCAATGGCTTGTTTTCCTCTTGTTTGGATTGATTTTTTGTATGGTTTTTTAATTTTGTGAATTTTTAGAGGGATTTTGGTTATGAAATGAAGTATTTTGAAATACTGCCTTGGTGTTTTAAGAGTGCCTAACACCAGGTGGCAGTAGCATACAACAGCTACACGTTTGATATTCAGCTTTGAGATTAAATTTTAAAGCAAAAGTCATTTCATCAAGCCATGTACATCAAATAGATATCAAAAAGATAGTAATAGCAACCTGGACTGAACTTTAAAAATCCAATGTTAAAGCCAAATTTGAAGCCAGGTGGCAACATGCTAACCTTGGGTTCAATCCCTGATATTGAAAATAAAATTAAATTAAATTAAACTGTGCAGATAGGATAGTGGTTATCTTTATGAGGTGAATAAACTAAGAATAGACATGAATGAAGGCATATTCTGTGGTGCTAGAAGTAGTCTATTTCCTGATCTAGGAGGTAGTTATACAAATGAAGCTTCATTGAGTATCCCTAAGAGATGTATAACTTTACCATGTTATCACTCCATAGAAAAGTAATTGGTGCTGGGCATGGTGGTGCATGCCTGTAATCCCAGCACTCATGAGGCTGAGGCAGGAGGATCTTTGCGAGTTCGAGACCAGCCTGGGCTACAAAGTAAGCTAAAGGCCAGCCTGGACTGCATAGCGAGACCCTGTCTCAAAAAGACAAAAAAAAAAGTAATTGGTAAAACTGATAAAGACTGATAAAATTTTTTAAAATAGGTAACACTAGATATTTGTGAGGATTTGGTGTAGCAGGAAATCTTATGTACTGACTTCAGTTGGAAGAGAAGCTTAGTATAAAGATGTATATATCATCCAACCTAACACATCTACCGCTTGGCATAAATGCTAGAAAAACTACTGTGCTTCACATACGTCTCAGGAGACAGGATGTACAGTCTTGTTCACAGCGACATTGTTCCAAGTGGCAGAAAAGCAGAAACAGCCCAAAGGTCCGTAAACACAGACAGAATAAATAAGTCGTTGTATACAGGAACTAGGTACAGTAGCTGTAGTTCAATATACCATTGGTTGTTTTCCCTCCAGACTGGGCTCAAACTTGCTGTCTGCCTCCCTTAGCCTCCCAGAGTCCTGGGATCAGACATATGCCACATGCCTGGCTTGATGTTTTAGAAGCCACCAAAACAACAGTATGATTCCATTGATTTAAAAAAAAAAAAAGTCAAACTAATACAAAATAAAAACTATCATATAGAGAGACCTGTTATTTTTAAAAGACCAGGACATGATTAACATACAGTAGTTCCCTCTGCTGTGGATCAGAAAGGGGTTACCACAGACCGCAGAGCAGACTTCAGATGTATTGGAAATGTTCTCTTTCTTAAACTTGGTGACGGGTTCACAAGTTTGGCAGTGTCCTTGGCAGCCAGTGCTGTGATGTTTGTGTCTGGAATTAAGACACAAAATGTTTAATTACAAAGTCTCAGGCTCGGGGCTGGGGATTTAGCTCAGTGGCACAGCGCCTGCCTGGCAAGAGCAAGGTCGTGAGTTCGATTCCCGGTACCAAAAAAAAAAAATTCTCAGGCTTGGGATGTAGCTTGGGGCTAGAGAGCTTCCTCAGCACGCGTGAGGCTCTCTGCAGCACTGAAAACAAACACTTCCGAGGCAGAACGAAAGGAGCAGCTCCGAGGAACTTGAACCTGCCTCGTGTGGCAGGCAGCCCACGGCCACTGCTCTGAATCATTCTGCATTATCATTTGTCCTGTGCTGTGAAGGTTCTAAAGGACCTAGAAGCCAGAGCTTGGAATTGATGCAGAAAGCTCTGCTCTTAGAGAAAGGCTGCCTTCAGCCGGCATTCATTGAATGTGTGTGGTGAATGTGATATCAAACCATTGTAAAGGATTCCTTGCTGGGTCAGAAGTACATTAGAGGAGGAACAGATATCCTACTGAAATCTATTCATTCAACAAATATTTGTTGAGCACCTACTATGTACCAATGATAATTTTAAGCAGTATAAGGATTTATGAAAAAATAAATAAACACATTTAAAGGGAGATATGTACAGCAAAACTTGTTTTGATTACATTCTTGATCTAAAATGTAGATTCTAAAATATAATTATTTCAAACTGAAATATCGGACTCTCAGTTCTACCAAGGCACTAAAGAACCTATTATTGGTGACAGGTGGTATGTTAATAAGTACTCAGTTTATAAGAGATTTCTATTTTGTTTTGAGGTGTTATTCATCCAGCCACACTGGAGACTGTGTGCTCTTGCATATCACTGTTAGAATTAGAAGTATAAATTGGCCTAATACCTCTGAAGGCCATTTGGCATTATGGGTCAAACAAGTAATTCTGATAGGCTTCGCCCTAGAAAATTGTATCTTATCCAACAGACATTTTTTGGTAGGAGCAGAAGGTTGGAACCAAGTCCCTCAGTACGAGGCTGGTTAAGAAAGGTTGCTCTATGCTTCCAGAAGTGTGGCATGTAATGTGCAGGAGAAGGCAACTCTGTGCACAAAGTATGGAAAACACCAAGTATGCAGTTATTTCTAAAAGCAAGGGAGAGCCAGGCGTGGTGGTGCATGTCTGTAATCCCAGCACTCGGGAGGCTGAGGCAGGGGAATCTTTGTGAGTTCGAGACCAGCCTGGGCTACAAAGTGAGCTCAAGGCCAGCCTGAACTGCATAGGGAGACCCTGTCTCAAAAAGACAAAATAAATAAATAAATAAATAAAATAAAAGCAAGGCATATAATCATATATAGTACATCATTATTTATATAAAATTTTGTGTATCTGGAGGATAACTGTATAATATTTGTGAAAAATGTACTCTGGAAGAAATATTTGTAGAAAAAGTATCTCTGGAAGGTTACAAAAACCCTGATAACAACGGTTACCTCTCTGGAGGAAGAAAACTGGGAAGAAATGGGATGTGAAGGGGAAGAATTCCTTTCACTAAATAGCTTCTTTTATATGTCAACACTGAATTATATGCATGTGTTACACAGAGCAAATATTAAGTCATTTATTTTAAAGTAAAAAGTAGCCGTACTTCCTACTTGGTCAGATTTGTGTAGAAGCAATGCTATATTTGACAGCGGTATGCTGTTTCTCGAATTTCAAAAAATGGTCACACTCGTCCTAAAATTTTGCTTATAAATCTTTTCATTCAAGATTTTGGACCTGCAGCAGAAATTAGAACATGCTCGTAACGTCTGTCTCACAGACACTTGTACTTTGAGGAGGAGGCAACTAGAGGAGAAGATCAATGCAGCAACAGAAAACGAAGCTAAGTTAAAGCAGCAGTACCAGGAAGAGCAGCAGAAGAGGTAGGAGGAGCAGAGCCCGCTCGGTGTTGCAGGGGTTTGAGCAGGACTGAGCTCAGGAGCAGCGCCCCCTTCCCGTTCAGTGTGTGCTCTCTGTCTGCCGAAGGAAAGCCGCAGCACGACGTCTTCTCTTCAGCACTTAGAATAATAAGACTGATGGTTTATGTTTTTGGTTGACTCTGGCGCCAGCCTGTGGGATTCCTAGAGACCTTTGTCTTCTTGTTTTGGGGCACACCTGGTGCACAGTTTTCTCAAATGACTGGAGTGCCCACAAAACATGATATTCTGGGATGTGTTTTTCCAACTCTGTGGGGTGACTGGCACAAATTCAGACTCCGATGAGGCTGGTGTTTTGTATTTATGCACTAAGTGGATTCAGAGTGTTTCCAGTGACTTTATAGCCATCTCTTTTGGATTTTTGAGACAGAATCTCACTATGTAGTTCAAGCTGGACTTAAACTCACTATGTAGCCCAGGCTGGCCTCAAGCTTTCAGCAATCCTCCTGCCTCAGCCTCTTAAGTGCTAGAATTACAGGCATGCAGTACCACACCCAGTTTAGGTATTTTCATCGAAAAAACAACTACCAGATAAGAGCTGTCATCTATTTTTTTTTTTTTCTAAAATTATGGTTACTATTATGATTCTTATTTAACGCATCTGCTTGGGTACCCTGGACTTCAGTGATCAAGGCCTTTTATTTGTATGTAATTCAGAGTGACTCACATACACCGTCTACCCCATGCTCCTTAAAATCCTTCTGTAGCTCCCCATTCCTGTGAAGGTAAAGTCCACACTGTTCACTGTGGCTTGTTAGACTCTGCATGAACCATGCCTCGCCTCCCATTCTAGCCTCTTTTTTGTCACTCCCACCACCATTTTTTTTTCTAGCTAATGTACAGTCAGGATCATATACAAGCTATTGACTAGAGCATTACTCATTATAGCAAAAAAAAGTATGAAAGATGTATTAAGCCAGGCACAGTGGTGGGCACCTGTAGTCCCAGCTACTCAGGAGGCTGAGACAGGAAGGTCATTTGAACACAGGAGCTCAAGGCCCGTCAGAGAAACATAATGAGACAGTCTCAGAAACATGAATAGAAGACATTACATAAATTGCGTTATGTCTGTGAATATATAAGTGTATTATGCTTCTCCAAAGAAATAGAACCAATAAAACAAACTTAATGATAAGAGGAGATTTAACGCATGGGCTCATGCGACCAGCGGCACAGCGGTCCCACAGTGGCCATCTGCAGGCTGGAGAGCGGGGAAAGCAGCCGCCGCTCAGTCCGGGAAGCCGCCAGCCTCAGAACAAGAGGCCCCGAGGATGCAGCCCCAGGAGGAGGCCAAAGGCCTGAGACTCCCCAGAGAGCTACTGGTGCAAGTCCACATGCACACGCTGGAGAACCTGGAGCTTGATGCCAAAGGGCGACAACAGCAGGAAAAATGTCCCACTCAGAAGAGCCAAACCTGCAGGAGAGCACATTTCTCTGTTCTTCTCCCTTTCTGTTCCATCTGGCCCCACCCGCTGAGTGGTGCTGCCCACAGTCAGGACGGGTCCTCCCCACTCAGCTCGCTGACCCACACGCCAGTCTTCTCTGGAGACACCTCGAGGCGCCCAGACATCTGCTTCCCAATTGTTTAGGCCTCCCTCAAGCTGGTCAAGTTAGCAGCCAAAACCAGCCGTCACACTGTGGAACAGAATGCTGCACAGCTGCTTGCAGTGAGAAGGTATTAGGAAACTAACAAAAAAGGATGGAAAATCCCAAGAATTCAGAGATAGCATATTCTTTTTTTTTCTTTCTTTCTTTCTTTTTTTGCCTTTTTGAGACAGGATTTCACTATGCAGCTCAGGCTGGCCTTGAACTCACTTTGTAGCCCAGGCTGGACTCCAACTCACAGTGATCCTCCTGCCTCAGCCTCCCAAGTGCTGGGATTACAGGCGTGCGCCACCATGCCCGGCCATAGCATACTTCTTAATCACACATGAGTCAACGAACGAGTCATGAGAAATTTAAAATATCTTAAACTAAAATGACAATGAAAATTCAACTTAAATTTGTAGAATACAGCAAAAGCAGGGAAACTTTCACCACTGTATATATATATATAGAATTCATATATAATTTGAACATATGGTTGGATACTGAACATAATATAATATCCTTGGTTGAATTTTGAATATAATATATGTGGAAAAATCAAAATCAATAACCTAAGCTTACACCTTAGGAAACTAGAGAATGATGAGCATTATAACTCCAAAGCAAACAAAAATGAGAGTACTAGTCAATGAGACTGAAAACAGAAAAAGAATAGAGAAAAACTGATGAAACCAAAAGATGGTTCTTTGGAAAGACTAATAAAATTGGCAAAACTCCAGCTAGTTTAACCAAAAATATACAAATTACTAATACCAGAAATGAAAGATCAGTATATGTACTGATCGTATGGAAATTAAAAGGATACTAAAGGACAGTTCTAGCCCTACAAATTTGATAACTTATATGAAATAGACCAATTCCTTGAAAGACATAAACTAAGAGTAATAACAGATAATCATAATAGGCCTATTCAGTATCTACTAAAGTAATTGAGTCCCACTGGGCATGGTAGCACACATCCGTAGTCCCAGGAGCCTGAGACAGGCGAGATCACTTACCCCACAAGTTCAACATCCATCCAGAAAACATAGCAAGACCAGAATCTCAAGAAAAAAATTGGATCAATAGCTAATAACCTTCCAGAACTAAAGCAGCAGGCTCTGAAGGTTTCATTGGTAAATTATACCAAACATTTAAGAAAGAATGTAACTTCTTACAATTTCTTCTAGAAAAATTGCATAGAGGACCCTTTCTAATGTTTTTGAGGAAAGCACTACTCTAATACCAAAATAAGATATTACAAGAAAGGGAGCCAGGCATGGTGGTGTACACCTATAATCCCAGCACTTGGGAGGCTGAGGCAGGAAGATCACTGTGAGTTCTAGGCCAGCCTAAACTGCAGAGTGAAACCCTGTCTTGAGAAGACTGAAAAAAAAGGGAAACTGTAGACCAGTATCTCTCACGAACAGATCCAGACTCCTTAAAGTGGGTTGTTAGGTTCTGCATGACACAGACCTATCTTACCTTCTAATCTCATTTTCTTGTCACTTCCTTATCCCCATTCTGTTCTGGCCAAATGAACTCTTCTCACATCACTGAAGAAAATGGTGATAATAGTAATAACAATAGTATCAAATATTACAATAACACTTTTTTAGTAGTGGCTTTTATAATCTATCAACTTGGCTAAGATAAAATGTTTCCCAGAATTCCTTGAAGGAACGTTTCTGGTTAGAGTGGACCACAAGAGAGAGATTCGTGGAGAAGGACAAAAGTACAGCATTTTGTCTCCTCCGCTTGGCAGGTTTGAGCAGGCTCTTTTGCAGTTTACACATGTTGCACATATCTGCCGCTCACCTCAGCATGAGGCAACAGCCAGGCCTATAATAGCTCCACCCGCCCCGGATCCTTCTTCAGCTTCTCCTTCTCCTGAGCTAGGTGTCTCCTGAGCACCTTGACAGGGGTGACAGCTTTTCTTGCAGGACACCTACTTGATCAGGGTTGGAGGTGGTGAGAGCCAGCATGAGTCCCCATCCCTCCTCAGGGGTTCCAGCTTGCTGATGCTCTACCTATTTTATGGCCATCTTCACTTCATTGTTGTCCCGTAGACATTTTTTGTACCAGGAATTGAACTCAGGACCTCACGCTAGCCAGGCAGGCGCTGTGCCACTGAGCTATATCCCAGCCCTGTCCTGTAGACTTTAAACTCCCACATATGACACAAAGATGACAGCCACGTGGGCTATGAAATCAGAGCTTGTGACTGCATAAGACCAAATCTTTGTAACATCTCTCATTAAGCTGGGGCTGCAACTCCATGAGAGGGCACTTAGCTAGCATGCCTACAGCCCTGGTGTCGATCCCAGCACTGATAAACGGAGGGAGGGAGGGGAGAAGGGGGGAGAGGGAGGGGGAGAAGAGGAAGAGGAGGAAGAGGACAAGGAGGAGGAGGAAGGGGAGGAGGATGGGGAGGAAGAGGGGGCTAGGAAGAGGGGAGGAAGGAGGGCGGGAGAGGAAGAGGAGAGGGAGAAAGAGAGATGATTAGGTCAAAATCTGCAGAAGCACTGGCTGCTCTGTAGAGGGTGACTTGGGAAAGAAGCTCAGTCCATAGGGAAAAGAGGTGTCGTATCAAACCGCAGCTTCTCCCAGCCTTTACTTCGTAAAACTCTCTATATATAACATATGAACTAATTTCTAACATGTTTGTGAGTTGCTCTTTTAATTTTGACTTCCTGCTTTTCAATTTCAGTTTCCACTTTCAAGGCTTACCTCTTAGTGTGGTTCCTTGATCAGAAACTAAAAATAGAACCAAAAAGAAGGCAATAATAGCAGGAAATTGCACAGATATACACACAGTAAATTAGATAAACAGAAACGACAGGAGGAATGTTGGTGTCGTGATGGGTGGGAGTGGGAGAAGGCAAGTACAGCAATGCTTAGGGAAGATGCACTTGTACCGAGAAACACAAGAACTAGAGATAGAAGTATAAACCCAGGTCTCAGATATAAATCTTCCCAATAATCTGTTGGTTTCCTAGAATACTAAAGCTAGAGAAAGCAAACTTATTTGTCCAAAGATAGTATTTTACTGTCCTAGCATTATAGGTGAGAATTTTGCTTACCAATACTAATTCATCATTATCATCATCATATTCTTCAAAATGAATCTCCTAAGTCCAGAGAACTTTGGTCTGAAATCCTCAGAAATCCTCTGAAACTTTTTCCACAAACTAGTCTAATGAGACTCACTTTTAAGAGCTGGGTGTGGTGGTGCACACCTGTAATCCCAGCACTCGGGGAGGCTGAGGCAGGAGAATCACCTCAAGTTTGAGTCCAGCCTGAACTACAAAGAGAGACCCTGTCTCAAAAAAAAAGAGAGAGACAGAGACAGAGAGAGACAGAAAGAGAGAGAAAGAGACTCACTCTAAAGGAGTAAAGTGCCAACAGAGCTCTTTAGGAAGAGGGGTGAATTTCTTCATCAAATGTAGGCTCATTCATGATTCAGTTATAGCAGTGTTTGTAACTGCCAAACCTAATTTGAACCCACAAGATCAAGGGCTCAGTGTATAAAGCGGTGACAAAGAATGAACCGGGGGGGGGGGGGACCTGAGGATATAGCTCAGTGGCACAGGCACCTGCCTGGCAAGCGCAAGGTCTTGAGTTCAATTCCCAGTACAAAAAAAAAAAAAAAAGAAATTTAAATTAAGGGGGCTGGGGATTTAGCTCAGCGGCAAAAGCGCCTGCCTGGCAAGCGCAAGGTTATGAGTTCGGTTCCCGGTACTGGAGAAAAACCAAAAAATAAATTAAATTTAATTTAATTTAAAAAAAAAAAGAATGAACAGGGGATCCAAGATTAGCGCCCTATTTCCACCTTGTCCTAGCTGTTCTCTGGGCCACATTTTCCTCCTCTCTGAAATAAGGAAAATTATTTCTTCCTCATGGGGTTGTTTTAATAGTGAGAGAGATAACTACGAAGAGCTTCTATCATAAAGGAGGTTCCTGGTGTTATTCCCTCCATTTTATGGACACATATCCTGCTTCCCTGAATTAAAAACAATTCCCTGTGATGGCATGCAAATTCTAGGTCTAAGTTTCTTCACAAAATGTGGCGATACACAGTGTGATTTACTGTGCATTCACTGTCCTCAGGAAACTCCTTGATCAGAATGTAAATGAACTACAAAGGCAAGTGAGAACCTTACAGGAGAGAGAGAGTCAGTTGGAAATGACCAGTTCTCAGCAACACGAGGCCTTACTTAACCAACTGGAAAATGAGAAAAGAAAATGTGACGAGGTAAGAAAGGGAGCAGATCTGCCTCTCACTGCTCCTGCTTACACGGGCCTGAGTGAAGGTGACTTGTGAGAGCCTAGCACCGGACTCACTCAGCTTAGTCACAGTTCTGCCAGGAAAGCTTTGCCTGCCGTGGGCATGTCAGGCGCCAGGGGAGGGAAATGGCTCCTCTCTACCCTTCTAGGTTCCTTGGCAGAGCTACAAGTGAAACTGACATAAGGTGCATGACCTTTAATTATGTGCACACGCGAGGACATCAAAAATGTGAGACTCAACAAGAGTCCGATGACAGAAATTTATATGACATCCTGAGCTACAGGAAAGAGTGGGGGCTTGGGGCTCTGGGGTGTGATGGGGACAGGTTTTGGGGGTCGGGGATTGTCTTCATGCAAACGAGAGGCTCTCAGGTAATAAAAGTAGCCTGTAGCAGCCCTCTTCCTAACACAGATAAGCTGTACAAGTCTAGATGTCATGTATACATATAAATTTCTTCTACAGCAGGACAGCTGTTCAGAGCTACTCCTATGTCTGCAGTTTCTCTGAATAATATGAAGTATATTCAAATATTCCAAAGAAGTATATTTTGGGATGGCTCATTCCAGTTTCCTAGGGCATGTGTTGGGGTGGTGTGTCCTGAACCCCAGCACAGGCACGAAGGATTTAATACAGGGGGAAGGATCCTCACAACGCTGTTGGAAGGGACAGCAGAGAGAGAACAGAAGATCAGAAGGAACAGCTGTGGGCTTTCAATAAATCCAGTTCAGAAGTCAAGAGGAAGCCACTTCCTGTGGCACCAAAGTGAGGAATTTGCAGGACTCTCCCTGAGCTCCTACCGGGTCTCATCTGCTTTCCGCCCATTCGTCTGCGTGCCGGTGCCAAAGGAGAAAGAGGGAACCAGCGCTGGTTTTTCTCTCTATACTCACACTGCAACTGGCTCCCTCTAGCTCTGGGTCCTTGTCTTGGGGCAATGAAGCAGCACACAGCGAGCAGTGGGGAATGCACAAAGGTATGTTTATTGGAAAGAATAGAAGGAAAAACTCCCTGCTTGTCAGAGAGGGGTTCCACAAGAGGGACACCATAGATGTTTAAATCCATTAGCCTTTTTTCTTCTTTTCAAGAGTAAAAGAAGGACAACATAGTAATAGAGGGATTTACCGAATTACGGACAAAGTGGTAGGATAATATCAATGGTTGTTATTTTACCTATTGGTATCTTCAAGATAGTTTCTCAGGAAAACAAATAGACAAATAATAGTGAGTTATAGACAAAAATGGTAGGAAATTATCAGTGGTTGTTGTACTATACTTTGGTTTCTTCAAAGTGGTTTCTAGGGAAAACAAATAGAGCTATACAGGAGTGATCAATTAAATAATCATTGAGTATTCTCAATGGTTGTTGTTGAAAACACATAGTAACAAACATACATCCATTTATGAAATAGCATAGGAACAACAGAAACATTACAGAGTTATGGACAGATTGGTAGGAAATTATCAATGGCTGCTGTAATACATCGTGGTATATTCAAAGTGGTTTCTCAGGAAAACAAAGACATGCAAGAAAGATCTAACAAGTAGTTACAGCCTAAGGGTTGTGAAAAATAGCAGATTACCTCCTCATCAGTGACTCCTAGATTTATCCTTCTGATTTATTGAATTTTTTTTTTTTGTTTTTTCCCAGTACCAGGAATTGAACTCACAACCTTGCGCTTGCCAGGCAGGCGCTGTGCTGCTGAGCTAAATCCCCAGTCCCCGATGGCTTTTTCTACAGTTTTTGTTATAGATGAACATGACAGAGGGCAGGGATGCTCCTGGGCACTGGCTGGCCTCTGGTGTCCACAAAGCATTTTACTTTCTCCAAGGCTTCTCCCATATGCTGAAAGACCTCTTTTTTGTTCCTTGCAGTACATTAGGCTCTGATAGTTTGATTAAGTTCATTATTTGGGTCCTCTGGTATGTTAACTCACTTAAGCCCCTCTTCTAGTTTACTTCAGGTTAACTATTCAAGACTTGTGCCATATCTGCCTAGCTTTTTTCTGCCTCCTGGCCTTCACACCCTTCACAGCACTTCTGACACCAGATGAGTGGTCTCCCCCCAACACACATCGAGCAGCTCTTCCATTCCCCCGTAGGTGTACACAGGTGTAATCCACTTTGACACACATTCTTGGAATCAGCATTTGATTCCATTAGTTAAGGGCTCCATGCCCCAAGGCTCCGCGTCACATGGCTCCACACCACTTGAGATGCCAATTGCAAGTCCAGTTTTTCACCTGTTTCTTTTTTTATTTATTTATTTTAAAAATAAAAGAAGCAAAACATATTAACAAACAGACATCCATTTACAAAATAGCATAAGAACAATGCAAACAATACAGAGTTACAGACAAAGTGGTAGGAAATTAACAATGGTTGCTGTATTACATAGTGATATCTTCAAAGTGGTTTCTCAGGAAAACAGATAGAGACACGCAAGATTGATCAAAGAAGTAATCATTAACTGTTCCTTTCAGTAAAGCAATAGAAGTCAGTGTACAACTACATTAGCTATCCTGTATATAGATACATACATAATTTCCCCTTCTTTCTTGTCTCTTTTCCCTCATCGCCCTGTTTCTGACCATTAGCTACCAACCTGGGGGTTCTACAACCCACTATCAGGTTTGGCCATTTGTTAGAATGGCTCACAAAACTCGGGAAAACAGTTGACTTACTAATTCATTTGCTCATTATAAGAGGATACAACTCAGGAGCAGCCAGACAGAAGAGATGCACAGGGCAGGGGAAGTGGGAAGAGCCGTGGAGCTCCCGTGCCCTCCCTGAGCATCGCCCACCCTGAGCCTCCGTGTTTCACTGGCCGGGAGCTCTCAGAGCCCCATCCTTCAGGGGCTTTAGGAAAGCTTCCAGCTTAGTGTTCCACATGAAAGCAGCTTGGAAGTCATCACCATTCTATCCTAACCATGCACTGAAAGCTCAACAAAATGAAAAAAATCAATTATTCTTCATCCTTGAGAGAAATGAGGTCCCAGCGCAACTGCTGCCCCTAAAATTGGAGATACCACAGGCAAATCCAGAGAATCACAGCTTACCAGAGTGAAAGCCCCACGAGAAATGGCCCCTGAATAGGGCAACCTGGAGTGTTCATTGATGAATTATTCGAGGCTTGGCGTGGATAAGTCTGAGAGCTAAAACCTCTAGGGGACTCAGTCATTATGGGGTACTCACACTTTTGTGAGTTTTACCTCCTGGAGCTCACCAGGTTGTTACCAGTGGATATCTGTAGACTAAACCCAGGGCCTTCACACTGAGCTATGTCCCCAGTCCTTTTTTCATTTTAAGACGGTCTTGCTGAACTGCTAAGTTGCCCATGCTGGGCTCAAACGTGTGATCCTCCCGTCCTCAGCTTCCAAGAGTGCCGAGTTACAGGCATGTGCCACATCCTGCTCGTTCTGAACTTCTCAGCAAGGTCTGCCCTCATAGGAAACTATTTGACCACAGCCTAACCTGATGGGGGTTTGTTGGAGCCTCACTGACCTAGGAGAAGGGAAACATCTAACTCCTGCTAACTCTGCCTCACGTAAGGGGGTGGGGAGGGAGCAGAGGGAGAAATCTGTGTGAAACTCACAGTACAGAAGAACAAGCTCAAGGAAAGACTGTAACCTAATCACAGGACTACAGAATGCTACCCATCCCCCCACACACCTTACCAGCACCCTCCTAAAGGGGGGACATCACTGTAGATCCCATAAACAGCTATGTGCCCACAAATATGATAACCTGGCTGGCATGGACCAGTTCCTTGGTCCTCAGGTGACACATGGACTGGGAAGGCACAGTCTGCCAAATTCACATATGAAGAAACAGACATCTAATAAAACTATAGCTAGTAAAGCAATTGAACCCTTAATTAATAACCTTAAAACAGAAAGCATCAGAACCAGACGGTTTTATGGGTAAATTCTACTAAACTAACTTGCTTGCTTTTTTCTCTGTCTCTTCTTTCTCTCTTCCTTCCTCCCTTCCTCCCTCCTTCCTTGCCTCCCTTCCTTCCTTCCTTCCTTCCTTCCTTCCTTCTTTCCTTCCTTTCTTTTTGGGGTACTGGTGATTGAGCCCAGAACCTTTGCACTGAGCTACTTCCCCAACCCTTTTCTTATTTTTTGAGACAAAGTCTCACGAAGTCGCTAAATTGCCCAGGCTTGGCACAAACTTGTAATCCTCCTGCCTCAGCCTTCCAGTATGCCAGGATTACGGGCATGCACCACCATACCTGGCTCTACCAAACACTTAAGAAATAAATTATGCCAGTTCTTTATCCCCTTTCATAAGATAAAAGCAGAGGCTATAATTCCTAACTTAGTCTGTGAGGCCAGAATTACCTTAATACCAAAACCAGACTTTACAAGAATACTGCAGATTAGTATCTCGTGTGCATATAGATACAAAAATCCTCAATAAATTGGGCATGATGACATATGCTTGTAATCCCAGCACTGGGGAGGCTGAGGCAGGAGGATCACAAATTCAAGGCCATCTTGGGCTTTCAAGGATGGCCCAGACTATATAGCAAGACCCCATCTCCAAAAACAAATAAAAACTAAACAAACAAAATCCTCAACAAAATATTAGCAAATTGAATCCAAAGTGTATATAAAACAAGTATTCACCATGATCAAGTAGGATTTATCCCAGATATACAAAGCTGGCTCAACAGTTGGAAATTAGTTATGTAATCTATCACATCCACAGGCCAAAGAAGAAAAGTAACATGATTCTATCAATAGATGCTATCTTAGTCTGTTTGTTTTTTAAAAAAATACCTGAGCCTGGGCAATTTATAAAGAACAGATATTTACTTGATACAGTTCTAGAGTTCCGGGGTCCACAGTAAAGGCCCCAGCAGGACTGGCATCTGGTGAGGGTTGCTCCCTGCTTCTGAAATGGTGACTTATCACTGTCTCCTGGGAAGGAACTGTGTCCTCGTGTGGTACATGGAGTGGAAAGGC